ATCACCTTGCACCACCGTGATGTTTGATGGGATTGTAACGAATTCCACATATACTTGAAAGAGAAATTTAAGAAATTGAGACCAATGGAATACATTAGTATATATAAAATTAGATCTCGAGGGCGAGTAGTCTAATTGTTTTAGTATTACCATACTAGTTGGACAAAAAATGAGTGAAATATATATATAACTAAATGATTTTATTGCTAAAAATACGCAACAAACTGTCGCTTTTCGCTAGTCGAGGACTATTGAAAATAGACCCCGAGTAGCGTCGAGGACTATTGAAAATAGACCCCGAGTAGCGTAGCCAATCAGAATGTACCATTTTCAGTGATCCACCAGCATGGTTATACTAATAACGTATATACCTTGTATTAGGGCATATATCTCAAAGCGGGAAGCACCAAGGATATTATGTCCCTTGCAGGTGTATGTCCCTGTATCTGAGCCATTGGAGTTTCGTATCATCAAAGTGCTCTGTATTACTGTATGTGGAATTTCACTTGGACAGTACTTGGCTCTGTTTGATGCTGAAACAATAAATCGATTGTAAATCGTGCTACATTTCTTTGCTATTTTTGTAGGCGTAAAGTACCATCTCCTGCCCTGGCTCAATGACGAGAAAAAAGGCGGTAAAAAGGAACCATTCGAAAGAGAAATAAAGATTAACTGAGAATAAACGACATTAACCTCGCTATTTTCTAGAAACAAAGCATTGTTCTCTCCTCCTTTATAAACAGAATGCTTCCATGCCTCGATGCCAAGCCTTACCTTTAGGTGTTACATCACGATTGTCAACTCTGTAATGGTGCGAGCTGCCTTGGTGGTTATCAGAGATCTGAGTGTTGCCACGGTACCACGTGATCTCCGCTCTTGGGTTTGCTACTGCACTGCATGTTAGGACAGCGGTTTCCCGCTCGTTGAACACAACACTTCGAGGTCTTGTGTTGAATGAAGGAGCCGCTGAGAAATGTACAATGCATAAAAAGACCATATTAATATCGATATTGTAGCTACAATCCTGTGCAAAAAGGTTGAGAATAACTGCACCCTTCAGGTCAGTTCAACAGAACATCCTCTCTACCCCCTCCCCTCCCCCAAAACAGTGAATCCAGGYACTACTTCGAGCGAAGGGGGGCGGGAGGAGGGCAGACAATAAATAGAAAGTATAGGCGTGAGACATTCACAACATTCAGCCATTTTTAAAACATTCTCAACTCTTCTTGTCCAGGATTGTAG